TTCGTAAGAAGCAGATCCAGACAGTTTGACTGTTGCCCTTCGCGCACCCTCGTCGGAAAACAGACGTGCTGAGTGAGAAATAACTTGAGGGTCATGTCCAGCAAACGTCGGTCGAAAGCATGGTCTGGACCAGATGCATAAGCTGAACTCCAGTCGATAAGAGGTGCGTTGAAGTCCCCCATAATTAAGACGTCAGACCGGATAGAGAATCTTTCCAGGTCCTCAATCAGACGGGCGTCCGCCGTGGGATTATTTCTCGGCGGTCGGTAGACCGTGTCGGGTAGTTGCCTTTCGCCCTTTTTGCTGTCTTAAACTAATCCCACCAAATTTCAGATTCTGCCGGGCACTACAGTACCTAACTCAGGCCCAATATTCTAATGGATCCTTGATGAAGTATGTTTTATTGATGCCGACTTTGAGGGTTTTCTTATAGACTGGAACATTCAGGATTCCCTACCAGTAATTTACTGACCTCCTAGGCGTCACCTGCATTAGAGACCACTAACGTTCGGCCTTTGTACGTGATCTGAACAAGACCAGATGTTCTTCATTGAAAAATCACCTTAATAAAGGCCGAAGTTGTGACTTAAATCCTCGACTAATTGATTGATACTGAAAATGATGAGTATTGGTCTGACCTAACCTAAGCAAGTTTGTTTGAATCCTCTACGACTAGTATCGTTTTCTAGATACGCCTGTGGACCTGTCTCGTAATGGCAGATGATATCGATGTTGAAGCACTTTTAGAAGCGCCCTTTAATAAAGAGGTACGTAACCTTATTAATTTTTTTAGTTCCGGTCTGGTCTACCGCATATTCCTAGTTAACTCAGTAAATCAGACTTTTTATATTTTATTAGGTTACTTGCGGAAGTATCGGTCACCGGTGACGTCGTTGCGGGCGTCTGGCCATTTCCATTTCCACCTGTAGTTATCAGTTGGTTTTTTGTCGGTATGTGCTAACGGTGCTCTAATTTTTTGTTCGATTCCCCCACCCCTTCTGCTGCTCTATGTCCTTCTGCTGTTGTCGGTCACAGGAACAGTCCAAGTCGAGCTCCCGTCGGCGAGATCGGTCACGCTCCAGATCGAAGGACCGGAGTCGAAGGTTAGTTTTTTTTCTTACAACCTACGCGTTTTTAATAGACATCGTGACCACAGCTCAGATCGCAGACGAGACCGCGACGAACGACGCTCTGAACGGCGACGCAGTCGAGACAGAGATCGAGAGGACTATGATAGAAGGCGGGACCGTGATGAGGGCCGCTCAAGACATGACAGGTCGCGGTATGATAGACGAAGTCGCGAGGACCACCCTCCCAAAGACGTCAGGGAGGACTCGGACAATGGCGAGCCTCGGAAATTTTACCGCAATGGCGAACCGAGACCGAGAAGGTATGTTGTATAATACCTTTCTTACTGTTTCATCTTAGTCCGGAACTGACACCCGAGGAACGTGATGCTCGTACAGTCTTCGTGTGGCAGCTGTCTGCCAAGATTCGACAGCGGGATCTGGAGGATTTCTTCTCATCTGTCGGAAAGATACGAGACGTCCGTCTAATAATGGATGGTAAAACTAAACGATCGAAAGGCATAGCCTATGTCGAATTCCGCGAAGTGGAATCAGCACAACTGGCCCTTGGCCTGACTGGTACGAGGCTGCTCGGGGTGCCGATTCAGATTCAACAGAGTCACGCAGAAAAGAACCGCACCGGTACCACAACGACCACAACCACCGCAACAGCATACGCAAGACCTTCTGCGCCCTCGAGAGGGCCTATGAAACTGTACGTGGGTTCGCTTCATTACAACATCACCGAGGATATGTTGAGAGGCATATTTGAGCCGTTTGGAAAACTGGAAGATATTAAGCTCATCAAAGATGCCACGACGAACCGGTCACAAGGTTACGGCTTTGTGACTTACACAAATGGCGAAGACGCGAGGAAGGCCCTTGATCAGCTAAATGGCTTTGAATTAGCCGGTAGGCCAATGAAGGTGAGAATATCCGATTGATTAACCCTTTTTTAGGTGAATTACGTCACAGAGCGTAGTGATTACGCAGCTCTGAGTGCACTTGACAACGAAGAGACCGACAGAACTGGTATAGACCTTGGCACCACGGGACGCCTGGCCTTAATGGCTAAACTAGCTGAGGGCACTGGCTTGGAGATTCCAAAAGCGGCTCTCGCCCAACTTCAGGTTCTTCAGGGCAACCCGACTCTCGGGACTGCTGGAAAGGTTAGCTCCGCCTCAGCCACCGCGCCGCCTGTTTGTACACAATGCTTCATGTTATCCAACATGTTCGACCCGCACTCGGCGACCCACAGCACTTTCGAAGAAATACGGGATGACGTAATCGAGGAATGCTCAAAATATGGTGGCATTTTGCACCTATTTGTTGACCAGACCAGTGCTCAGGGTAATGTGTATGTCAAATGTCCCAGCATCGCCATCGCCACACAATGTGTAAACATGCTTCATGGACGATATTTCTCTGGGCGCCTAGTTACGGCCGCCTACGTTCCTCTGGTGAACTACCACCAGCTGTTTCCAGACTCGAGCACCGCCAACACCATCCTCAAGCCTGCATACTAATGATTGTGTACATGGACTGAAACTACGTTT